TTTTTTTTTTTTTTTTTTTTGTGCCTGTATTGGGGTTTGAACTCAGGGCCTGGGCTGAGCTTCTTTTAGCTCAAGCTAGCACTCCACCATTTGAGCCACAGCAACCACTTCTGGCTTTTTCTGTTTGTGTAGTGCTGAGGAATCAAACCCAGGGCTTCATGCATGTTAGGCAAGCACTGTACAACAAAGCCATATTCCCAGCCCTGAGGACTTATTCTTGCTTGACTTTTTCACTTAAGGCTGGTGCCTTTACCACTTGAGCCAAACGTCCAATTCCAGCTTTTTGGTGGATAATTGGGCTTTCTGCCCAGGCTGGCTTTGAGCCAAGATCCTTAAATCTCAACCTGAGTAGCTAGGATTACAGGCATGAAACACCGGTGCCCAGCTTTAACTTGCTGTTTTACTAATATAGGTGAGTGTGTGCAGCCTTTATCTTGTGTCAAGTATCCTTCCTGGGCAGAGCTGAAACTGGGTTGTCGTCTGGCCAAGGGTCTTTTTTTTTTTTTTTTTGAAGGTTGTAGGGCTTGAACTCACGGCCTGAGCACTGACCTTGAGCTCTTTTTGCTCAAGGCTATTGTTCTACCACTTTGAGGTACAGTGCCACTTTCAGATAAGAATCTCATGGACTTTCCTGTCTGGGCTGGCTTTGAACTGAGATTCTCAGATCCCAGCCTCCTGAGTAGCCAGGATTATAGGTGTGAGCCACTGGGCCTGCCAACCAACCATCTTCAAACTGTTCTTTCTTACCTCAGGGACGATCTCATCAGGGCCATCAAGAAACTAAAGGCACTGGGCACTGGCTTCGGCATCATCCCTGTGGGCGGCACTTATCTCATTCAGTCTGTTCCAGCTGAGCTTAATATGGATCACACTGTGGTGCTGCAGCTGGCAGAGGTACTGGTGTGCTTGCTTCCAGACAGTGCAGGGGGCATCCTGGGGTGGGAGTCAGGAGCAATCTGGCCTCCTCCTTGTCACTCAGGTCTTTTGCAGAGATTGTTTTATAGGTGAACTACTCAGGCGTGTGCTCAGTTGGCAGTCATTTATTGAGCAGCTGCAGTGCCAAGCACTGGGCTGGGCTGTGGAGCAGAGAGGTGGGATATACTCCTTGCTCTCGAGGAGCACAGTCTTAGGGAGGCAGCCATTCTTAAACTACGCTGTGAATTCTAAATTTTGCCTCTCATCTCCACATTCCTCAGCATGCCTGCAGCTTCCTCCAAAAGCCCATTATGTATTTGTAAAAGATGTTCTGTTTTCTTAATTCTGTAATATAAAATACAACTAAAAGGGGAGGGGGCTTTTATATTGGTGGACGTTTAGGGTAAGGCAGGGTCAGGGGTAAATAGTTTAGATTAATAGTGTATCCCCATTCTTTATGAATTGATCATTCCCAGTCTTACACACCTTGGAACCTACTTAAGACAACCCACCAAACTCTATTCTCCCTGAAAGTTACTTGTCTCTTAATGCTGGGCTCTAGGGAACATGCACTCTTAACTCAGTCCCCATTCTCCTTTAGAAAAATGGGTACGTGACGGTCAGTGAAATCCAAGCCAGTCTTAAATGGGAGACTGAACGAGCGCGGCAAGTGCTGGTATGTGACTGAATGGCCCAGAACACATGGGCCCTGGTTGGGAGGTGGGCTGCACATGGGCAGGCATTTTAGTCTTGCTCTGCTGTTTCCACACTTGGGAGTAAGGCTGGCATTTTTCATGGCACTGAGAAGGTAGACTACTTGAGAGTCCTCTGACCTTGGAACTGATAGTCAGGGGTTTAATACAATTTGTATTGAAAGCAGCATTTCAGGGTGAGGTGATTACACGTTTATAACAATACATTAAATATATTGCATAATATGTATGACAGTGATGGAAGACTGATGTGGAAAGGGAGCAGTATGAGAATGTAGCTGCTCTGGCTTCAGTTACTGTTTTCCTTATCCAGGCAATTTGGCATCTGTAAAATGGGAGGACATAAATATCACTCAACAGTATTGGGCAGAAACAGCTTATCCTGTGTATTTCCAGCCTAGGAGCCGTGAGTCCATTCTAGTATAAATAAGGTCCTTCCCATCTGTTCCCAGCAAGTTAACTCACAGCCAGCCAGAACACTACTCTCCCTTCTGATGCAGGGAGATGCAATGATTTCCTCAAGTTGTGGCCCTGCGTTTCCACTACCTCCATTTTGCCTTGGCTTTCTCTCTCCTGCCTAGACGGAAGGTTAAATGGCTTCGGTTTTTTCCACGCTAGAGGCCAAGGACAGGGGCCAACAGATTATTCCAGTATGGTTGCAAATGCATGAAGGCACATGTAGGTTGTTTGAAAACCTCACTGAAGCCAAAATAGGTTTGGGGATATAGCTTCTTTCTCAGATCTCTCTTCTTCCTCCCCATTCAGGAACACCTGCTGAAGGAAGGGCTGGCCTGGCTGGATTTGCAAGCCCCTGGGGAGGCCCACTACTGGCTGCCAGCTCTCTTCACAGACCTCTATTCCCAGGAGATTACTGCAGAGGAGGCCAGAGAAGCCCTCCCTTGATGGGCGTATGGAGGGACACACAGCAGCAGCTAGAAGAGGGAGGAAAATCATGGTGAATAAACCTGGACAATTTTGTTTATAAAAGAAAAAAGTTCCAAGTTTTTCTTTCTTCCCCCAGTATTTTATTTTTTTAAAGTGCCTTCACATTGCATTGTTTTTTTTTTTTGGAGGAAGCCTCATTTATCCAGTAGGCTAACCTGAGTAACACAGGTAACAGCAAGCACATCTGAAATACTTGCATAGAACATCTACAAGTTTGTGGAGGAACTGGGCCTAGAACACAAGCTGTGTCTTGGCCAGACAGGGCCTAGTCTTTCTGTAGCAGGTACAATTTCCTCTCTAAGTCCAACTTCCAATTCATCTTCCTAATCATATTAGCAGGCCCTCACGAACCAGTCACTCTGATCTGAGTCTCTCAGCTTCCTGTGTATGGCTCACGGCTTTAGACTGACTGGGGCTTGGCTTTGTGAAGGAAACCGAAGCTAGGTGTTGAAATGGTGGCTAGGCTGGAGGGAAAAAAAAAGCAATGGAACTTGAGGGGAACTGAACAATCAACAGATTTGTTCCTCAAGATTCCCTTCCTTCAAGTCTCTCTTCTCTCCCACATTAGGCCCAGCTAGCCTCAGTGGTGGAAAAGGAACCTTACTGTAAATCAACTGCTTTTCCCTACACATTTCCTCAACTTCATAGATAATAAACCAAAGTGATTTACCAAAGGCCACCAGCTTAGGCAGTGCCAAGGCTGGGACCTAGGTCCCAAAGCTCATACTGTACTGCATCACTGCTTTGTACAGTACAGGCTGGCAAGACATAATGTGTGTAGATATTTTCTCCTACACGTGGTCAGCCAAGAGGAGAAAATTTCTGCCCCAGAACGTTATGGTTCCTACAACAAGTAGGCAGTTACAAGGGAAGAAGCCGAAGTTTATGGTTTCTAGTCCTCAGGGTCTGATGCTTCAGCAATTCTGGTTTCATAACTGAAATTCAGCAGCTTTCCCATACCAAGACAACCTTCCTTAGCAAATATGCCTGGGCATAGCTCTACCTCTGCCTGTTCTCACAGGACCTGCTCACTCTCCCCGAGCTTCCTTTCTCTGGAAGCCACCAAGGCCAAAGTGGCTTTCCTCTCACTGACTCCCAGAGCCATAACTTCTAAATTGGGCCAGCTTTCAGTAAATCTGGTATTCCTGCTCCCTTCCCTCCTCCCCCAGACAAGCCAGCTCTTCAGATCCCAGACCTAGGTGAGGTGTGGTGGGTGAGATGATCCCATTCTTCCTTTCCATAAACCCTCCCACACCCACAGGCGCTTCCTCCTTCTGCCAAAACAAACTTTATTGCACCAAAAAGAAAAAAAAAACTTCATTTATGTACAGTCAGATATAAAGACATCTCTTTGACTCCTGTGCATATATTTTCTCAACTTAAGATTAGGGCATAAAAGTCAGGCTGCTATGCCAGACATGCTCTGCCCCATGGCAGGGCCAAGGAGAAGATTGTCACTTGAAAGTGGGAACACTTAAGTGGATGACAGACAATACTGGACCCACAGACCAAGGGCATTCTTCTCGGCCCTGGACTAGCTCTGGGAATGGAAGAGGGAAATTGGAAGCAGGGTCCCTTTTTGAGTCTCTACGTGAACAAACTCAGGCTTCAGATATCCAAGATAAACTTAAGTTCCCCAAGCACACCACACTCTGTCTACTTCCTTTGCTTCCTGCCCTCTCAAGTAGGATGGCGCCTTTGTGCCCTATCTCCTTCTTATTTCCCCAGCATCCCCATGATCCATATGGCAGAGACCTTCAGGTAAGCAAGGCAGGGAGGCATCATACTCTCCCTTCTGTGTGTCTTGATGGAATAAAGCCCTGCACCACATGGATCACCGTTCCCTACTGGGCATCCCAATGGTAAGAATCTGCAAGTTTGGGGGAGAACAAATCAAACAGGAAGGATGGACTCCCTTGGTGTCCAAGTTACAGGGCATCTGAAGCACATTTTTCTGAGCCAACCAACTAAAGCATCACTGCAGCTAAACACAGAAGCAACACAGCCAGGCAAACACCCAATCAGAGCCAGTGACAAAGAGCAGCCGGGAGGGGATCAGGGAGTAGTCCTAGCTCCAATCCCCTTCTGCCACTGGCTACCATTGCTTCCCACAAATCCCCAGGGGTGAAGTGAGGAGGAGGACTATCGGCTGGGGTGAAAATACACAAGGACAGCCAAACAAATTACAACAAAGACTAGCATCAGTCTCCCCCCTGTATCCCACCCTCAAGAGAAATACCCTCATTGACTAGTACTCATGAAAATCTGTAAGGACTATTCTATGTAGTGGCTCTAATACCGTACACACTGCACCGGCCTGCGTCAGGAACTTTTCAAATCAGTGATTGTGGGAACAGACAGTACTTTCAGGCTTCTTACGGTGCCTGGGTAGGCTTCACCAAGACCTGGGTTAGTCCCAGGCCTATATTACCTTGTGTCTGAAACCTAAAATGGAGGAGATGGAGGGAGGGGAAAAAGGTGCTCAGGTGCTAGGTAAAGCTTACTGATCAGCAGCCTAGACTCCACCACTGTTCCTTCTCTTTGGTCTGTCTAGAACAGTGACTATAAATTAGGAAAAACAAAATTATGCTGGCCTGTGGGAAATAACATGGGAGGGGAGAGAGGGACGAAAAGGGCATTGGGGAGCCCTGCTTCAAGATTGAATATGAACAGAAACACCCAGACGGCTTAAATGTCACAAGACAGCCCCCACCCCAAGTTCCCTTCCAGATACCCCCATAAGTCACTTGGGCACACTCCCTCTTGGAACTGCAATTTGTCTTCTCTCCTTAAGGAGCTGGCCCTGCGGAGAGGTGTGATGGTTGTTCTGTTTTGCCAGAGGCCTTTACCCCGAGTGCTCCTATAAAGGTACCTTGGCCCTGATTCAGGATGAACACAGCCCCAGGTGCTCCAGCATCAAGGAGGTCAGACTGGGAACCCCCCCATTCCCACACTCTGGGATCTGAGCTTGCTCATTTCTTGCCATCTTGCAAGATGACGTCACGTTTGGAGGGAGATACACGGTGTGCCTCTCCATTCCTGGGGTGGGGAAAGGGACTCTGCTGGGACTCTCAAGTTGGGGAAGGGAAGAGGGGGGTGGGGTCTAAACCCTCAGGCTCCCGTGCAGGTCTGTCTCTGTCCCAGATGAGCTGCTATCAGAGTCCATTTCAGCGTTCTCATTGTGGAGCCTCTCCAGCACTTTCTGACGAATCAGTCCCAGCCGCATCAGGAGGGACTGGTAGTCAAAGTGGCCTCGCTTCTCTCCAAAAGGGTCCTGCAAATAAAAGCAGACAAGGGAATTGAATGTTCAAGCATGGGTGGCTCAGCCTAGAGAGAACAGCTTTGGACCCAAGTGAAATACAAGCTCACTTTCTGAACCATGAGAAGAAAAAACTTGAGCAGGGGCTGGGAAGGTGGCTCAGTGGTAGAGTGCTTGCCTTGCATGCATGAGGCCCTGGGTTCCATTCCTCAGCAGCACATAAGCAGAAAAAGCTGGAAGTGGCGCTGTGGCTCAAGTGGTAGCGTGCTAGCCTTGAGCTGAAGAGCTGAGGGACAGCACCCAGGCCCAGAGTTCAGGCCCACGACCAAAAAAAAAAAAACTTGAGCAGTTACAAATGCTGCGGCACACTTGCTACCCCAGCCTCAGCTTGGGCTGACATAGAAATGTTTGCATTCAGCCAGGTACTAGTGGCTCATGCCTGTAATCCTAGCTACTTTACTCAGGAGGCTGAGTTCTGAGGATGGAGTTTAAAGCCAGCCTGGGCAAGGAAGTCCATGAGACTCTTATCTCCAATAAACTTTCAAAAAGTTGGAAGTGGAGCAATAACTCACATGGTAGAGCACTAGCCTTGAGCACAAAAGCTCGGGGACAGCACCCCGGCAGAGTTCAAGTTCTAGAACCCCGCCCCCCAACAACCCTTCCAGCGGCCCTTTCCCCCCACCAAATGCCAATAATACAGAAAGACATGGAGACATTCTATAAGAGGTGGGCTATCATTATTTGTGGGGGGATTCCACATGGGCTTCTGGAATTAATGAGACAGCTAGAAAAGTTCAATACCTACTCCATAATCATTTAAGTATGCCTGTTTCCAACTAATCTCTAAAACCAAAGGGAATAATCATCCTTTATTTGCTATATGCAGGTATAGAAGCAAAAGTTCTAACTTCCAGAAAAGCACCTGAACTCTTCCCCAGAGTTCATGTCATGACATTCATGACATGACATCATGACATCTTGGCAATCTCATCTAGGTTTCTGGACACTGCTCCAGGGCTACCTGGCCTTGATCTTTCTTAGTCTCTGTGATTTGAGATCAAACAGTATGGAAAAGTTTAACTGTCCTCAAACAATAAAATATGGGGAGCTGGATGCTGGTGACTCACACATGTAATCCTAGCTACTCAGGAGGCTGAGATCTGAAGAACCACAGTTCAGGCCGTAAAGTCCGTGATTCTAAAGATTCTAAAGCTGGAAGTATAGCTGTGACTCAAGTTCTAGAGTGCTAACCTTGAGCATAAGAGCTCAGGAATAATAGCTAGGACCAAAGTTCAAGCCCCAGGAACTGCACAAAACAAAAACCAAACAACCAAATAAAAACAAATGAAACAAACATACCAAAAAAAGAACCATGGGTTGGGGACTGCAGTGGTTAATGCCTATATAATTCTACCTACTCAAGAGACCCAGCCTCAAAACTAGATGGGGGGCAGAGTGCCAGCCCTAAGCAAGAAAGCCAAGTGAGAACTCAGTCTTGAGTTCAAGCCACAATACTGGTACCAAAAAAAAAGTTTTAAGTACAATATAAGGACTTCAGCAGCACACTGCAGGGTTCAAGGTAAAACCTCTGCATGACAGTCACAAAAAGCTACACAAAAAAATGCATTCCACTTTTTCTTTTTTTAGTTCTAAGGACAGAACCTAGAGCTTTGTGCATTTCTGTACTGGTTCTGGGGCTTGGACTCAGAGCCTGGGTACTATCCCTGAGATGCTTTACTACTTGTGCCACAGCCTTACTTCTGACTTTTTGGTAGTTAATTGGAGATAAAAGTCAAACCATCTCTTTTCTAGCTAAGACACCAATGAGGGAACCAGCCAGAGACATAGAAGTGACTATGGACAGAAGAGCTGATCTGATTGGTCAGTAAGAATCTCTTCCCTCCCTGTGTGCCAGTGGCACATGACCGTAATCCTTGTTCTCAAGTGACTGAGATCTGCAGAACTATGGTTCAAGCCCAGGCACAGATCAGTGACTCGTCTCCAAAAATACCCGCAAAAAAACAGGGCTGTGTTGGCTCACTCCTATAAAACTAGCTTCTTAGGAGACTGAGATCTGAGGATCTGGGTTTGGAATCTATGGTGGCAGACAAATCTACTTTTTTCTCCAGCTAACCAACAAAAAAGCCAGAACTAGAGGCCTGGATCAAGTGGTAAAGTACCAGACAGGAACAACAACCAAAAAACTCCAATCAAGGCTGGGAAGGTGGCTCAGTGGTAGAGCGCTTGCCTTGCATGCTTGAGGCCCTGGGTTCGATTCCTCAGCACCACATAAGCAAAAAAGAAAAAAGCCGGAAGTGGCACTGTAGCTCAAGTGGTAGAGCGCTAGCCTTGAGCTGAAGAGCTGAGGGACAGCGCCCAGGCCCCGAGTTCAGGCCCCATGACCGGACCCAAAAAAAAAACAAAAAATCCTCCAATCAACACTGAGGACATGAGGCTCAGAGTTCATAAACAAACACCATGAGCACATAAACAAACCAACACACAAACACAAATGCAATGCAGGCTGAAAGTGTGATTCAAGTAATGAGTGTCATCTGAGCAAGCAAGCAAGCAGAGAAAATGTGAGGCCATGTTTAAACTCTGGTACTGCGTCCACCTCCCAACCGTGTAATAGAAAGGAACTTCTTAATTAGGTAGGTGTGGTGGCGCATTTATATGGGCGATGGCATTTATATGGGAAGTGGAAGCAGGAGTACTTCAAAGTTTAAGGCCAGCCGGGCGCTGGTGGCTCACGCCTGTAATCCTAGCTACTCAGGAGGCTGAGATCTGAGGATCGAGGTTCAAAGCCAGCCCGGGCAGGAAAGACCGTGAGACTCCTATCTCCAATAAACCACCAGAAAACCAGAAGTGGCGCTGTAGCTCAAGTGGTAGAGTGCTCGCCTTGAGCTGAAGGACAGCGCCCAGGCCCAGAGTTCAAGCCCCACGACCGACCCAAAAAAAAAAAAAAAAAGTTTAAGGCCAGCTCATGAAAAAAGTAAGACCCTGGCTCAAAAAATTAAAAAAAGGGAACTGGGGTAGAGTGTTTGTCTGACATATCTGAGGTTCTGGGTTCTACTTCCTAGTATCACAAACAACAAAAACAACAACTTTTTTCTCTTCCCATACTAGGATTTGAACTCAGGGCCTCACATGTGCTTAACCTGCTGGCTGGGATGGTACTCCACCATTTGAACCACACCTCCAGCTCAGCTTCTTGCTGGTTATTTTGCAGAAGGAGTCTCCCAGGCTTTTCTGCTTAGGCTGACTTCAAACTGTGTGACCTTTCAGATCTCAGCCTCCCAAGTAGATAGGATTATAGGCATGAGCCACTACTTCTAAAACAAGAACGTCTTTATTTTTTGGTGGTTGTGAGGCTTGAACTCTGCACGCTGTCCCTGAACAATTCAGCTCTATCACTACCACTTGAGCCACAGCATCACTTCCGGCTTTTTCTGTGGTGCCGAGGAATCAAACCCAGGGCCTCATGCATGTGAGGCAAGCATTCTACAACTGAGCCACTTTCCCAGCCCCAAGAACCTCTTTATTAAAAGAAGCCCCAACCTGTCTATATTTTGAGTAACTAGTCCAAATTAGCCCGGAACTTACCCTGAATTTTGACTCAGCCTCCTAGGTACCAGATTTATAGGCATGTGCCATCACACCCTCCCCACAACTGCATTCTTACTGGAAGCAAGATCACATTTCCCAAGTAAAGACAAATTGAACTGTTAACTGGCTATCACTTTTGGAAGAGGAACTGAACATCCATGATTTGTTTGAACTACCTTTCTGTGATCCCTTAGGGATAGGGAAAAAATTTCAGGAGTAACTGTCATCATCCCTGAGATTCAGAGTGTTTGAAGATTACTGAGCAAAAAAGAATACTTCCTGGAGAAGAGGATGATTCAAATTACTCTGAGTACCTAACTTTATGCCACGAACTAGGAACCAATTGTACATGACTTCAAACCAGTCAGTCTCCTCTCAGGGTTTCAATTCCTCAAATGACACAGGTTCCTTTAAGCTGTGCTATTCTACAAGATGTGGATATTAACTTTAGGGTGTGGGGATTTCACATGATTTTCTGTGAGGCTTCTAGAATTAGCAGCAGAGGCTGTATTACCTGCATAGTCTGGCCTTGGAGGTGCAGGCGATCTTTGCAAGCTACCTCATAGAAGTCATAATATTCCAGGAAGGACTTTTCCATCACCCCTCTGAAAAATAAGTAGAGAAGTTAGAAACATTGAGGCAAATCTTTCTTTCACTTCTGAATCTTAATGTCAAATTACACAGCCAGAGTTCCTAAGGCCAGATTTTGTTTCCCACACAGATCTTTAAATGGAAAAACAGATGTTTGAGATAGCTCATTTCCCTTATAACTCAGAAATCAAAAAACAAAAAGTCTGTAATACTCATCAATTGAATCCCAACCCTAACTCATGCCGTGCACAAGCTCTATAGTTTCCAAAGGTCTTCCCAAGCCTAAACCCTAGTCAAAATCTCCTAGGAAGTTTAATTACAACTTTGTTCACTGAGATCTAACACTCAGAAATAAGCAACACTAAGAAATAGGTTTATTATGAAATGTTCCCTCCCTCATTGTCTATGCAACAGTTAGTATGAAGCCTTCATCAAATTGAAGGCTCCCTAAAGGCATGAACTGTCTCTTCACCACTCTTCCCACTGGGACTCTTCAACAACTGAGAAACTCTCTGAACTTCCTCTTGGGTAATCCACATCTCTTTAAAAGCATGAGCCAAGACAGATATGGTGGTGTACTCGTGTAATATGGTAGCACTCAGGAGGCAGAGGCAGGAGGATTGAGATTGAAGCCAACCCTGCACTACATAGACCCTGTCTAAAAATAAAACAAGGGCTGGGGCACTTAAGCAAATGGCAGGACACTAAGTATGCCAAGCTCTAGGTTTGATCTAAACTACCAAGGAGGTAAAAAATGTATGAACTACATTTTTCCTTTTCTATCTCCCTCAACACTGGATTCCACCCAAAGGCCCTCAGTTATAGCAGGCCCTTTTTAACACATACCGTAGGGGCTCAGGGCAGGGACATTTTCCTTCCATCATATCACAGACTGCAACTCTGATGGTCTCATGCCGGATACATTCATTGTAGTTTTTGCTGTCTCCTGGATGTCTTTCCTGTAATTTGGAAGATGCCATAAAATCCAAAAACAAAATTTAGGCAGAAAGAAGCACCAATGGGAAGAGGCTTCAAGGTTAGTATCAGGAATGTGATACAAGCTATGACATTTTCCCCTACAGCATGAAGAACTAAGCTTTCTTTTTCTTTTTTTGGTCGGTCGTGGGGCTTGTACTCTGGGCCTGGGCGCTGTCTTTCAGCTCTTCAGCTCAAGGATAGCAGTCTACCACTTAAGCCATACCGCCACTTCCAGTTTTCTGGTGGTTTATTAGAGATAGGAGTCTCAGGAACTTTCCTGCCCAGGCTGGCTTTGAAACATGTTCCTTAGATCTCAGCCTCCTGAGTAGCTACGATTATATGCATGAGACACTGATGAGTGGCTAAGCCTTTATTTTTTGAGAACCTTGGCTTCCCCACATATGCAAACACTCATTCTATTAAGGATCTTCTGGCCTATAATCAATGTACTAGATCCATCAAATTTTCTTCAATCAGCTGGGCATGGTGGCAGATACCTGAATCCCAGCCCTAAGGAGGCTGCGCTGGCAGATTTCAAGACCGAGGCCAGCCTGAACTATATAGCAAGGCTCTATTTCTAGAATGAAAATTCTTGAACCTATCAGGTAAAGATTAAAAGGGAAACTACCACATACAGTAGGCCCTTGCAATCCACGGGTATATAGTTCCACGGAGAAAACCAAAAATACTTAAGATTCATAGAGCTCACTATTATACACTGCACATGTTTGATTCATTTCTCCAATAATGCTGCCCAACTTCTGCTAAATACATGCTGCCTTTCAACAAAGCTCAAGCCAGGTACTGATGGTTCACACCTGTAATCCTAGCTATGCAGGAAGCTGAATTTTGAGGATCATAGTTTGAAGTCAGCCTAGACAGAAAAAGTCTGTGAGTCTCTTATCTCCAATTAACTATTAAAAAGCCAGAAATGAAGATGTAACTCAAATGGTAGAGCAATAGTCTAGGGCAAAAAAGCTAAGGACAGGGGCTGGGAAGGTGGCTCAGTGGTAGAGCACTTGCCTTGCATGCATGAGGCCCTGGGTTCCATTCCTCAGCACCACATAAGCAAAAAGAAAAAAGCCGGAAGTGGCACTGTAGCTCAAGTGGTAGAGCACTAGCCTTGAGCCCTAGAGCTGAGGGACAGCGCCCAGGCCCAGAGTTCAGGCCCTACGACTGGACCCCCCCAAAAAAGCTAAGGGACAGCACCCAGGACTCAAATTCAAGCTACAGTATCAATGTACGCACGTGTGCTTGCGCATTACCCGCCCCCCCCTCCCCCAGCTTCGCCTCGCCACACACACACTTTTTGCTTCAAACTTTTATCTTGCTTTTGGGGAGGTATATCTTTACAAAGTTAAGGATAGGTAAACACTCAGAGCAGATCACATAATGACTTAACTGACAATACTAGAGGACTGACTAAGCTGTGTAACATGCATGGAAATTCAAGTTTTGTTTTTGAAAATCATTCAGTTCATTTCTTCCTTTAAGACTGTTTGGTAATATATATGGTACCTAAAACTGTTTTAATTTTTTTTCCTCTGGTCCTGAACTCAGGCCTGGGGACTGTCCCTGAGTCTCTTTGTGCTCAAGGCTAGAGCTCTACCACTTGAGCCAGAGCACCATTTCTGGCTTTTTTTTTTTTTTGGTTGTGGGGCCTGAACTCTGGGCCTAGGTGCTGTCCCTCAGCTCTTCAGCTCAAGGCTAGCACTCTACCACTTGAGCCACACGCCACTTCCAGCTTTTTTCTGTTTACATAGTGCTGAGGAATCGAGCCCAGGGCCTCATGCATGCAAAGCAAGCGCTCTACAACCTTCCTAGCCCTTCTGGCTTTTTTTGAGTAGTTTATTGGAGATAAGAGTGCCATGGACTTTCCTGCCCAGGCTGTCTTTGAACTGTGATCCTCAGATCTTAGCATCCGAAGTAGTTAGGATTATAGGCAAGAGCCACCAACACTGTTTAAAATTGTGTTTTATAAAGTGTTCAAGTTGGGGCTGGGAAGGTGGCTCAGTGGTAGAGCGCTTGCCTTGCATGCATGAGGCCCTTGGTTCGATTCCTCAGCACCACATAAGCAGAAAAAAAAAAGCTGGAAGTGGCACTGTGGCTCAAGTGGTAGAGCGCTACCCTTGAGCTGAAGAGCTGAGGGACAGCGCCCAGGCCCAGAGTTCAGGCCCCATGACTGGACCAAAAATAAAGTGTTCAAGTATGACAATATTCTATTTGTGTTTTCACCATTCAAAGCGCTACTTAGTGAAACTAATGTGCATAGTTTTCTCTTTTCTTTTTTTTTCTGGTCTCTGGGCTTGAACTCTGGGCCTGGGTGTGTTCCTGAGTAACTTTTGCTCAAGGTTAGCATTCTACCCCAGCTCTACTTCTCGCTTTTGCTGTGATTGGAGGTAAGAGTCTCACAGATTTTCCTGCCCAGGCTGGCTTTGAACTGTGATCCTCAGATCTCAGCCTACTGAGTAGGATTACAGGCATGAGCCACTGGAGCCAGGAAAGCCTACATAGTCTTTAACTGCTATTTCCTAAATGGGAGCAGGAATGTTTCTCTCTTTCCCATTTGTTTCTAGTTAACCTTGTTATGCTAATTTCCGTTTCTTTCTATTTAACCTTGCTATACAAAATGAAAATAATACATACAATAGAACAGGCTTACTAGTTGGACAATAGCAGTTCATGTCTATAATCCTAGATACAAGGAGGGTAAGACCTGAGACTGTGGTTCAAAGCCACCCTTCAGAAGGTTGAGACTCTTTAACTCCAATTAACTACTAAAAAGCTAGAAGCAGAGTTACGGTTCAGGTGGTAGAGCATCAGCCCTGAGTAACATGCCCAGGCCCTGAGTTTAAGTTCTAGTACCAGCAAAGTAAGGGTATGAAAAATGCCATCAATTGGTAACGGTGTCAGGCTCAGGCGGCTTACACCTGTAATCCTAACTACTCAGGAGACTGACATGTGAGGATCATGGTTTGAAACCAGCTCTGGCAGAAGTTTGTGAGACTCTTATTTCCAATAAAAAACTTAGAAAAAGCCAGAAGTGGTGCTGTGGCTCAAATGCTGGAGTGCTAGCCTTGAGCACAAAGAGGTTCAGGGACAGAGCCCAGGCCCACGACCAACCAAAAAAAAAAAAAAGACGCTTCATGTTAACTCCTTTATATGCCTCTAGGATTCCAGAATCACTGAAAATCTAAATCATTCTAAATCTATCAGAAGGAGAGCTTGAGATTTTTCAAAAGAAAAAAAATGTAGCTAGCCAGGTGCCAGTGGCTCACGCCTGTAATCCTAGCTACTCAGGAGGCTGAGATCTGAGGATCACGGTTCAAAGCCAGTCTGGCCAGGAAAGTCTCTGAGACTCTCCAATAAACCACTAGAAAACTGGAACTGGAAGTGGCACTGTAGCTCAAGTGGAAGAGTTCTCGCCTTGAGCTGAAGACCTGAGGGATAGCGCCCAAGCCCGGAGTTCAAGCCCCACAATCAACCAAAAAAAAAAAAAAGTAGCTGGGCATGGTGGCTACAAATATAAACCTAGCTACTCAGAAGGCTGAGATCTGAGGATCAGTTTGAAACCAGACCAGGCAGAAAAGTCTCCATGAAGCTCTTATCTCCAATTAACCATTCTATTATCTTCAATTAACCATTCAAAAACTGGAAGTAGCACTATGGCTCAAGTGGTAGAGCTCTTAGTTTTGAGCACAAAGAGGCTAAGGGACAGCTCCCAGGCCCTGAGTTCAAGTGCCACAACTGACCAAAAAAAAAAAAAAAAACCAAAAATCACTGTAAATTTGGAGTGTTAGTCAATGGTAGAGCATTTTATTGGATGATCGTCGTTCCAAGCCAGCCTGAGAAGGAAAGTCCATGAGACTCTTCAAAAGCTGAGGAACACCTAGGTCCCTTGGATGCTTATTGTTAAATCTCCGGTATTAAACTCATCTGTGTTATCATGGAAATACATGGATATCTGAGCAAACTATCAGTATTTACCTCATATAGTCAAAATGACCTAAACAAGAAATTATACATAAAAATCTGCCATTCTCCCTTCCCTCTCTGTCTTCCTTCTCCTTCCTCCTTCCCTCCTTCATTGCACCAGGACCTCAGCCTGGCCTTCTGAGCATCCACCACATTTGGCTTGGGTCTATTCAGAGCCGCATCCAAGAAATGAACAGAGGGACAGTTAACCAGCTGCTTCTCCTCCACTGGTTTACTCAACCCACATATAGCCCCTTTATGCCCCTCCTCAGGAGAAGTAGCCAGATGACTGTGGTCATCCCATTTCCAAATCCAAGATGCTGTGCACTGGCCTAAAACCTTTCAAATGGGCAAAACAAGCTATGTGCTACAAGTCCCCGCTCACCACAAGTGCTGCTTTTATCCCGCCTATAAAAGCTCTGCTATATCCAAACTCATTGTGATATCTCTGATCCCAACCAGGAAGTTAGCCTGGGAGTGTACCCCAATAAACTTTCCTGTCAATCTTTTGAAAAAAAAATCTATCATTACTGGGCATACGGTATACTTTTGGGAAAGTGTGTTTACTATACATTCTCTATGGTAGTACTGACTAGAATATTTTAGCCTTAGCTAATGATCAGATCCTTTTGGTTCTATGGGTAACAGTACTTTATTTGTAAATGTGGAGGCAGTACTGAGAATTGAACTCAGGGACCTCAAGCTTGTTAAGCAGGTACTCTCCTGCTTGAGCTACATCACCAGCTGCATTACAGCACTTCCTAATGCAGAATGGCTTACTTAAGGGGATGCTGCAAAATGCAGGTATAATGAATAATCTATGGCTGCCAATGCTCACACTGTAAGTCAAAATTAACTTCCATATGACTGCATTGACTTCCACTCTTTAATAGTGTTACTTTAATTTTTACAAATAAAGAATACTCAGCCAGATGCCAGTGGCTCCTATCTATAATCCTAGCAACTCAGAAGGCTGAGTTCTGAGGGTTGTGATTCAGAGCTGAGATTCTTATCGCCAATTAACCAGCAAGAAGCCTAAAGAAGAAGCATAGCTCAAGTGGTAGAGCAACTGCTGTGAGCAAAAAAAGGTGAGCAAGAGTGCCACACTCCAAGTTCAAGCACCAGTACAAGCACAACCCCTCAAAAACAAAACAACCAGAAAATACACTCGGCTGACTTTTTCTCCTACAGTGAGAAATGTAATATAAGGGGCTGGGAAGGGCTAGGGGGAAGGCAAGTATCTCAGACCTCTTAGAGCCCCCAATATTATAGGGGTCAGAGCCTTACCTGTTCAAAACCAGGTTCATTGTGGTAGGGGTTCTCAGTCATCAGGGACTGGATGGAGATGAGCACAGAAGAGATGCTCTGGGCAGGACTCCAGGCTGGGCCAGTCCATGTACTACAAACAGCAGAGTAAAGGGAAAAAGTTGAACAGAAAAGGATCAGGGAGGGGATACAGATAGCAGTAGCAGCAGCACCACCACCCCAAATGACTCACCAGGAGTTTCTCTTTCATGATTAATGTTTTGGTTATTCCCAGCCTCTGTCCCACCCTCATACATCAGAATCAGTCAACTGTCTAATCTTCCTATCAAATAGGACAGAAAAGGGGAAAGCAAGTAAGGTAACTGAAGGAATTTTCTTCAGGCTAGAAAAGATGCAGTAGCCAGCAAGGGTAATTGTATCACAATAAAAGCCCTAAGAGGGGCTGGGAAGATGGCTCAGTGGTAGAGCACTTGCCTTGCATGCATGAGGCCCTGGGTTCAATTCCTCAGCACCACATAAAGAAAAAAAAAGCCGGAAGTGGCGCTGTGGCTCAAGTGGTAGAGCATTAGCCTTGAGCTGAAGTGCTGAGGGACAGCACCCAGGCCCAGAGTTCAGGTCCCACGACTGGACCCCCCAAAAAAAAAAAAAGTCCTAAGAAAGGGCTGGGAAGGTGGCTCAGTGGAAGAGTGCTAGCCTTGAGCTGAAGAGCTGAGGGACAGTGCCCAGGCCCCACAACCGGACCCAAAAAAAAAAAAGTCCTAAGAAAATAATTCTAAAGGTTGTCTAAATATTAACCTCTGTAGACCTCAGAGCTTTATTTATTGATTGGTTGGTGGTACATTAGTGAGGGAGAGCAGTTAAGCAGAGGCCCACAGGTGACTGAAGCCATCTGGTTAGAGTCCATGGGGTAAGGCCAATGATCAGGGAGCTAGTTCTCTAACAAGCCCAAAGTAGTGTCAAATCCTCTGAAGACCACACCATAGGTGTGATCTATTCAAGTATAGGAAGAAAGTAATGGGTACTTCCAGACTGTGGAAGGTCTGAAAATACCATATGGAAAACAACTTGAACATAAATAGAAATTTCAAAATTGCTCCCATTTTTCATAAACCTCACTAAGTATTAAGGGGAGGGGACAGCTTGGATATCAATGACATTTACTTTTAGCTCATTTAATTGACAGGGTGGCACCAGAGCTATAAGCCAAATACAATCTGAGCCAGGACTAAGCTTGTTTGACTTAACTGGCCACTATCCTTTCCGTACTAGGGAAAATCCAAATCAGCCATGAGCAGCTGTTCCTATGTGCCTGCAGCTCCTCTCTTCCAGTTTTGTTCCCCTAGACAGAGCTCCCCGTCTCCTGCTACTCCTAACTTTACATAATTAGGAATTCAAGCTAACAGAACCAACTCTCATTCCATCTCTTTTGTCAGTAAGCTAGCCCAATGTTTTACTAGGTCAAAGGCTAATATGGCTATCAGGGTTAACTTAAGAAATGTAGTAGGGGGCAGGGAATGTGGCTCAGTGGTAAAGTGCTTGTCTAGCATGCATGAGGCCCTAGGTTCGATTCCTGGTACCACATAAGATTAATAAAAAAGAGTCATTAAAAAAAAAAGTTTTAAAAAAATTAAAAAAAAAAAAGAAATGTAGTAGGAATTTTTTTCTTTTTGTTGGTTGTGTTGGCTGAACTCTGGGCCTGGGCGCTGTCCCTCATTCAGCTCTTCAACTCAATGCAAGTGTTCTACCTCTTGAGCCACTGCCACTTCTGTTTTTGTTTTTTTTGTCGGTTGTGGGGACTGACCTCTAGGCCTGGGCACTTTCCCTCAGCTCTTCAGCTCAAGGTTAGTGCTACCACTTGGGCCACAGCACCACTTCCAGGTTTTTTCTGCTTAAAGTAGTGCTGAAGAATCGAACCCAGGGTCTCATGCATGCAAGGCAAGCACTCTACCACTGAGTCACCTTCCCAGCTCCCACTTCCAGTTTTCTGAAGGTTGATTTGAGATTAAGAGTCTCACAAACTTTCCTGCATGAGCTGGCTTTGAACCGTGATCCTTCAGATCTCAGCCTCCTGAGTAGCTAAGATTACATATGTGAGCTACTGGTGCTTAGTGGGATTTTTTTCTATACGGTGATTCATCATAAAATTTCTAATCCAGGGTAATTTCTCCTTTCCTACTACTTTTACCACAGAATCTTCCTTTCCTGTTTCTCCTATGAGCTGGTCTATGCTCCAAATAGCTTTATATTGGCCTAATGAGACCATTTTAGTGAACAAATTTCACATTAAAGGACTTTACCACAATGGGAAATACATGTATGCATGGGCGTGCGCGAGCGCACACACACATGCACACACACATAATATTCCACTATCAGATAAAAAAAAATCATGGTACTTTACTAAGATGAAAGATTTCAAGAACAACCTACTACAAAGGATTTCCTTACTGCTGTAATCACAACAAAATATGGATTTGAGCATTCTAGAGAAATGAATTCCACCTCAAGTATACTTCAGATGCCTCTCCACCACCCTCAAAATTGGAAAACAGGAGCTGGGTGCTGGTGGCTCACGCCTATAATCCTAGCTACTCAGAAGGCCGAGTCTGAGGATCGTGGTTCAAAGCCAGCCCGGGCAGGAAAGACTGTGAGACTCCTATCTCCAATAAACCACCAGAAAACCGGAAGTGGAGCACTTGCCTTGAGCTGAAGAGCTGAGGGACAGCGCCCAGGCCCAGAGTTCAAGCCCCACAACCGACCAGATTGCCTTTTAAAGGTAATCTGTTCCCTCTCCGCTGATATTCAGATTATGATAAAAAAATAAAAAGACCAACCCAAAAATGCTAGAGGATTATCCTATTTTAACTAACCCATGAAGGCAATTTAGCAGAATAAATGGGAACTTCATGAAGTAACATTTCAGTAGCACCAAGGAAAGTATACTTGAAACTTACATTTCATATTTTACCTGACTTTCAGTGTCAGACATTTTCATCCAATTGTTCAATTATACCCACAATCACTACCACCACCTCCAAAGTAATTCACTAAAAGATTCAGTAAGATACCCATAACCTTGAATGGCACAGATCTGCAGCTTTTCTCAATCTGTTTTGGAGATTAAAGCCCCTTCATGTCCTCAGAGAGTAGTTCTTAAACTGGAGTGTGCTTGGATGACCTGTAAAAAACAGACTGCTGGCCCCACCCAAGAGTTTCTGATACAGTATGACTGGAGTGAGTGGGCCCCAAAATCTGTAGATGCTGCTATACTAGCTCAGGGACCAAGCATTGAGAACCACTTCATAAGATATATCTTGTATGCTGTGCGCTGGTGGCTTATATCTGTAATCCTAGCTACACAGGAGGCTAAGATATGAGGATCACAGTTCAAAGCCAGCGCGGACAGAAACGTCCCTGAGACTCTTATCTCCAATTAACCACCAGAAAACCAGAACTGGTGCTGTGGCTCAAGTGGTAAAGTGCTTGTCTTGAAGCTGAAGACCTCAGGGATAACATCCAGACATCCAGGCCCACAGTTCAAGTCCCATGACCCTCCTCCCCCCAAAAAAGATATATCTTGTATATAATAATTTGACTTCCCTCCTTTTCCATCTAGACTTGTACTAGTCAAGTATCATATACTTCTGAGAAAAGTCAAGCATATTTTACCTTGCAGTTCAAATGGGGAACCCTGGTTGATGAAAACTGGTTTAGATCAATCACTTGCTAACAACCAACTTGGCTACTAGGAAGTCTTACCCTAGAATACTCAAGCAGACTTTCCCATTGCGGTAGAAGTTGGGGTTAAACCTCACTGTGTTATTGCCAGTTGTCATTAGTTTGACCCGAGGTGGGTGGATGGGATAGTCAGGTGGACACCGAAACACGAACAGGAAGAAACCTCCTTCATAAGGTGTGTCAAATGGGCCTGTGATCAATGCATGAATCTGTAAAATAAAACCCCATCTCAAAATTGTGAGGTAATGCCCCACCCAGCCCCTCTTGTACCCCTGTGAGAAATAGGGCCACTGTCTGTGGAGTCCAAATTCCATGTTCTTGCCATACAGAGTGAACAGTCCATACTCATTCATATAGGTGGATTTAGAATTTTAAGAAATCCTGTTACAATGGAGTAGCATCATACTCAGGGGCTATGTTCCAAAGTTAAAGCTCAAAGTGAATACCAAGTCTTACCAAAAATCACTCATCCCTTAAAGCATAGTTTTTGTGTAGACCTCCCTCATCAGCATTACACCGAAAAAAATGGACAGAATATTATTGTGTAAAATGTATTATGTACCTGTATTTTTAATATTAAGAAACCAATATGTATTTTACTGAGTTTTGAATTTGCCTAGGTTAAACATGCATGATGCAACTATACCCTCATGCCACAAAGGGGAGGTAAAAATGGAAAAGAGGAAAAGGATCGGAGGCTACAGCACCAGTGTCAGTTAACAGTGCAGTGCTGAAGGTTATGATGAATACCTAGTATCTGCTTGCTTCCTCCATGGATGATAAATATGGCTCAGGCAGCATCTAGCTTTGCCAATGGTACAAAAAATAATGGGGAAATCAAATCTCAGAGTCCACTCAGGGCCACTCAGAACTTTCCCTAGCACTACCAGTTTAAAAAATAAAAAATCAGCCAGGCGCCAGTAGCTCACACCTCTAATCCTAGCTACTCAAGAAGCTGAGATTTGAGGATCATGGTTCAAAGCCAGCTGGGGCAGGAAAGTCCTTGAGACTCATGTCCTATTAACCACCAGAAAACCAGAAGTGGCGCTATGGCTCAAGTAGTAGAGTGCTAGCCTTGAGCTGAAGAGCTCAGGGACAGTGCCCAGGCCCAGAATTCAAGCCCCATGACTAACCAAAAAAAAAAAAAAAAAAATCAAAATTTCATAGAACACTGAATAGTCTTCCTCTACAAGCCATAATTATTGAACAGGACTTCCCCCTTCCTGAAGGGAAAAAACCTAAGGTGACTCAGTTGTGTTTCTTCTCCAAAGGCTCTTAAGTACTAAATCTGCTTAGAATTTGAACAGCAAGAAGAAAAAGAACATTGCCTCACCTATAGTCCCAGCCTTGACCTGCTAACAGCCTAAGTTAGTCTAGCCACCTACACATATCAAGCCCAACTACTCTCAAGATGGCGTCAATTCTGGGACATGGGATTAGCATTAGTATTTTGGGACAAGATGTCTCAGGAAAAACATTTTCAACTTTGCAAAAAGAAAAAAAAATCAATTTAAAGGGAAGACTACTCAAAACAAAAGGATACTTTTTTGTTGTTGTTTTTGTCGGTCATGGAGCTTGAACTCTGGGACTAAGTGCTATCTCTCAGCTCTTCAGCTCAAGGCAAGTGCTCTAACACTTGACCCTTAGCACCACTTCCAGTTTTCTGGTGGTTAACTGGAGATAAAAAGTTTCACAAACTTTCCTACCCTGGCTGTCTCTGAACCATGATCCTCAGATCTCAGCCTCTTGAGTAGCTAGGACTATACCTCTTGAGTAGCTAGGATTATAGGAGTGAGCCACCGGCGCCCAACTGAAGCTAAATTTTTACTTCAAGAAATCTGAAACTCTCAGTTCTCACTGAAAACAATACTAGATTTTTAGGAAAACTGATTTCTTCCCAATATCTGTTTATACGCATATTCTTTCCCAAGGGTAGAACACTCAATGTCAGAGGAATTTGATATTATGTAGTAAGCTTTCTCTGGTAGAGGACAAGAAAGGAATGGTCTTTGGAGTAGAAGGGATGTTCATAAGCAGTTAGTAAAGACAAGAGCCTAAACAAAGCCATTTAACCATAAACCCTTCAGCCACACAGGCCCTTTCCCCAACTTGCCCCCACTTAAAGTACCACTGTTAAGATCAAAAGTGGCAAGATGAGGGGAAGAGCTAAGCAGTGCAGTAGCTAGAGTGACTGACTATATAATTTCTCATCCAGACTGGCCTATGAATAACAAAGTTGGGGCAACAGGCACAAACTTATTTGCAATGTCAACCAGGATCTATATGCACCTAAGTAATGGACACTTGTGTAGGGCTCTGCTCTACCTTACTGTATGACCCTGGCAAGCCACTTACTCTCTTGGGGGGGGGTGGAGGGGGGGGCCTTGATTTATTCACCTATATTGCCAGAGAGGTGAGCAGAGTAATCTTTCAGACAACTTTATGGGCCCAATTTCCCAATAAGCCCCACCGACTCCCATCAAGTTACATACCTTAGTCATGTCAACAGTATCAGGCACAACGAACATTCCTGGAGGAGGCTCCTTATAAATGGACATGATATCCCTGCATGACACCAAGAGGAGGTGGGGGACACAGTGAGGGAGGAGGGAAAAAGGGAATCCCTTAAATAGGACAGTTGTTATCACGTCAGTGAGGGCAGGGTTCGAGAAAGTGGTGCTTGGTACCACAAATGTTTGCACTGTCTTGCTGACTGAGAAATCTTAACTGAGTAGTCAGGCAGGCAGAGAGCATATTATCAAAGGAGCATTGTTTTCTTAGGGGGAGGGTAGGGAGAGGGAAAAAAATAACTAGAGATCCCAAGAGGATCAGATGTCACCCTGAAAAAGCCACATCCCTGTTACTCTCACTTCCTCCCACATGGAAACTCACTTCCCACCTCAGAGATTCCTAGGTATTACACTGAATGTCAAGTGCAGATCTTCTTAGTAACTGGAAAGTCATAATTCCCCCCCAAAATAGTTCTATAAACCATTCAGTGGACCTTTCTTGGTGAGGGGATCATATGAAGCAAGCAAGCCAATAGGAAGCAAAACTACTTCTTGCCCAGGAAGCAATAGGATAGAGATATCTTCAGCTGGGGAAAGGGAATGCTTTGAAATCACACAATCTCACATCTGTAAATCTCACATCTGTAAGATGATGTGTTGTGTCTACTACAGATGAGATGATTTCTAGGTCATATATCGCCAACCAGAATGGGTCAGTTGAGAGCAACAGGCTTAGGAAAAACATTGGCCTGGTGTTAAAGTGCAGGAAACATGCTAGGGTAATAGGAACATTAAAAAAAAAAAAAGTGTAAACAGGAGTCAGCAAAGAAATACTGGCAAACTCAAAGGTGTAACTAAATTGGAAGAACGAAACAGCTAAAAGAGTTGCATGCTGAATTTAAAGTTAAGAGGTGGCAATCTCAAAGTTGGTATCCTCCCTCAGGCACGGTGCCAGGTACTTCACACACTGCATTACAAACTTGAAAAGTGAACAGGCAGCCATCTAAAGAAACTTGGGATGATACTACCTAGAGGAGAAAGCTTGTGATGGAGGCATGGGAAGAAAGCTGGTCATCCAGAAACAAGTTTTGGGAATAATAGATAAACAGTATTACACTGCTCTTGTGCGACAGGTACTAACACCAAGTACTTTTGCAAAACATATCTATTAAATGATATGATCTAAGATCAGTCACCCAAGAAATAAGTACAGAAAGGACTCAGGCCTTTGTTTCTGTGTCTGAATTAAGTATATTTGCCTCACAACAGTAAACCAGAGGAGCTGGGAGGAAAATACAAGGAAGAACATCCTGAATGGGATATTACAACCAGAATGCTAGTGGAAGAGGAGCCTCAGTTTCTAGAACAGGTGGGAGAGTGGTACTGCTCTGGGTTACTAGAAAATGGGTTCGAGGGAAAGATCTGGTAAGTGAAGGAAGCTATCCAGACCTAGGGAGGGGACCATGTGTTGGGGGGGAGGGAGGTGTTGAGGAAACTGAGGGTAAAAACAAAAGCTGGTTCAGTCTGAGGGCAGGGGCCAAGCAAGCAGAATAGGTCACAAAAAGTGCCAGGAGATTTGGGGGGGGGGACGACGGGTGGGGCGGGCGGGCAGCATCTAGGTAGGTTGGGGTGAGGAAAAAGGGCGGCGCGGAGGGCGGGAGGAGGTGGTACCGTAGTGGCAGAGGGTCGGGTTTCAGTCAGGAGGTAGGGGGGTGTAGGGAGGGTGTCCGGAGCCAGGACTCCCGGGAGGTCGCCGAGGGGCGGGGTCGGACCTGGGCACGTGAGGAGGGGGGGGTTAGGAGCCCGTGGATCTGGGGTGGGGGGCGGGGGGAAAGGGACCAGGCTCTGGACATCCCGGGCTGTGGAGATCTGGGCCTGGGGAGCCCGGCGGCCAGAGTGAGCTGTGGTGCGGAAAGGCAGGAGGCGGGGAAGGTCGGGCCCCGGAGCTCCCAGCTGGGGGAGGAAAACCCCGGCTCACCGCTTGATCCGGAGCAGACACTGCGGCGCGGTTCTCTCGCCGTCCCAGTCGGAGCTGAGCGTGGGATCCCAGTGGCTAAGCAGCGCGGCCCCGTGGGCAGCGGCCGAGGGCG